TGTCTGTATAGCCCCCAAAATCTTACCCAAAGCTGATATTTTCCCTTGTAATGTCTCAATATCAAATGAGTTTAAAACTCCAGCTCCAATACTACCTACAATATATTCACCTATACCTCTCTGTTGTATAGTCCTGTCTCCCCATTGTTGTTGCCACGCTTGTAATAGAGGCAAAGCATATGACATACACTCTGGATGTTGCGCATTTATGTTTACTTGCACTCCTTCCAACCAGATTGTTAGATCCACAATAGTTGGGGCTTCGATTACTTCTTCCCTCCTATAGGGGGGCTCGTCTGCCATGATTCTTTGTGCAATCTTGTTTACTGGTATCTGATTAATAAGCAATAAAAACCCAACCATATCCACGAAAATATATTCTCCAAATATTCAAAAAACATAAAAGCCAACAACCATATTTCTACCCCTTTCTCTTGACTCCCTCACAGGTCCTCTCCATACCAAATATCATTAGAATCCAAATCTAAATCTCTCTCTTTTTGACACTCAGCCGCAACTTGCAGATACTGTATTTTCACTTGCTTTTTCAATGCTGCTATAGTTTTCTGGCACCAGCTGTGAGAAACACTTGTGATCTCCTCTTCCTTAGTCAAATCTCGAAATAACTGTTTCATTCCTATCACTTGATGGTCTAATTTATCTTTGTTTGCTTTAATCTTTTCCCAATCCATCATTCTTTTCTCCAATTCCCTATTTTGTTTCCCCATTTGTTCTGAGTTTGCATTATCTGTGCCTGCCTCAATTCCCTTTACAAATTTTCCTGGCAAGTTTTAAAATTATCTTGTAATGTTTGTAACTCTGCACAGACTTAATTCTGCACAGACTTCCCCCTTACATGCAATTTCCTTTTTTACAGCTTGCCACAACAGCCATACTACTGCCATTTGCTTTTTACTGGCATTAGGCTTGTACAGCTGTACATATTTCTCAAACATGTTTTCTAAAGGTATCAAGTGTTCCATCCAGTTCCCTCGCACCTTCCATCCAAGGGCATGTTCCAAATGCAATAATCTCCTTCTCTAGCAGACTTTGGGCTCTAGTATAGTATGTTTGGGGTGTGAATGTGGAGTGAGTAAGGTTTGTTTTGTAATCAATAAAGATAATTTAGAGTATTATATACCAACACTGTCTGGTATCTGCTTACTCCCCATCCCATAGGGAGGCCTCTATTGAGAGTCTAACAGTGGGGCTATATTAAATCCCAACTGCCCCACTGGCCCACACATCCGTGTGTTGGTCATCTTCTATCCCACCTCCCCCCACGCCTCATCCATCTAGGTACCTATTTGTATATAATATGGGTATTCTGGTGGTACCTAAGGGCTAGCCAAGAGTGGGAACCCATTGTGCTTGGTGCTGTACAAACACCCAGTAATAGATGTTCCCTGCCCCCAAAGAGCTTGCAGTCAAAATAGATAAGACCATGACAGGTAGGGGACATCTGGGGGGAGATACAAGAAGGAGAGAGGGGGCCAGGAATCAGGGGCTGCTCTATGTATTTTGCCGCCCCAAGCATGGCAGTCAGGCAGCCTTGGGCGCCATGCCTGCAGGAGGTCCGCTGGTCCCGCGCCTTCGGCATACCCACCGCCAAATTGCCGCTGAAACCGCGGGCCCGGCAGACCTCCCGCAGGCATGCTGCCGAAGGCAGCCTGACTGCCGCCCTCATGGCGACCGGCAGGCCACCCCCCGCGGCTTGCCGCCCCAGGCGCGCGCTTGATGCGCTGGTGCCTGGAGCCGCCCCTGCCAGGAATGGAAGCTAGGTCTCCTCAGTGACAGGACAGAGCCTTATCCGCTAGGCCATTCTTCCTCCCCACCGCCTTTTCTCCTCCTCCCCCAACCTACGGTGGACTGAGCCCAAGCTTCTGACGTGAGTGAAAAACCTACCAGTGGGCTTTTGATCCGGCCCTTTGCCCCTCCCGGCCCCGAAACCAGCAGTTGGAAGAACAGGGCCATGTCTGTTCCAGGAGGTGCAGCGGTGTTTTACTGCAGACACTTGTGGAATTGCCGGAATGGGTTAGAGCCATGGACTATGCTTCCTTAATGTCCTGTCCCTAGCATAATGAACGCCACTGCTTCCCCGTGTGAAATGGGGCCCTGCCGACTGGGCACAAACCATTGATGGGTTGCACTACTTCTCAAGCTGGTCACTCGTTAGCCGAAAACCGCCCCCAGCCTCCGTTACGAGTAACAACAGTTACAAGGCTATGATCGCAGAGAACCAGGCATCGTAACGCGGAATCTTTCATCCCCTCCGTCCCACTTGGGTACCAGTCTAAGACAAAACAAAGGCAATCAGGTCTTCAAGCTGCTGGGGATAATGAGGAGTCTCTCTCGGAGAGACAGCTCAACCACCAGCCCGTCAGGGTGAGAAAGAAGCCCTGAGTTCACCCCTCAATTGCTTGTGTTGTGGCGGGCGGGAGCTGTCTGCTGGTTCCTTCGGTGCAGCCTGCTTTAAGCAGCAGCAATAGGAGAGACAGTTTGTAAAAGCTTGTAACACAGCCCGGAGAGCTTCCTTTATTAAGCTGTTTTCAAAAATAAATAGCAGGTCCCTTAATGCTGACAGAGCTCGGAGGGCTAGGAACTGTCTGTCTGGCACCGCGGAACAGCTGAGAGAAGGAGGCATTTCCCTGTTTAGTGTTAAAGAAAAAGTGATGTCCTCAGCATCAGAGGAATTGAAAACAATCCTTGTCTAACTAGCTGCAAATCAGCCCTAGTTTTGCCTTCCTAATCCCAATCGACCTGCAATTCTCCTACAAGAAAGTACTGCACTGTTAAGGAAGCAATGTCCGGGCTGGAGCCACGTTAGCTTCAGACTCCATCATAAGCAGGTGTAGATTTCCCTGAGTTATTAGGGGAGGATGGGACTTTGGAGCCCAGAGGCAATTAAATAATTAGACTCGTCTTTTAGCTGCAAAGTAACTTTCTTCACCTGCTTTTCCAGTCTATTCCATCTTCTCTACCGCCTCACCCCAGATGAGATCCCAAAAGGCAGATCCAATTATAGGCAGGGCAAACTGTTGAATCCATTATCTCCATCTCGCCCTAAAGTCCTCCAGAGTGGACTAAATAGTCTAAATAGGCAAGACAGAATTATTACCTTCATTGTACAGATGAGAAAACTGAGGCCGACAGAAATTAAATGATTTGCCCAAGGTCACACAGGGAATCAGTGGCAGAGCCAAGAATTGAGCCCAGCTCTTCTGAGTCTTAATGCAGCACCTTCACTTAACCACAGGACCATGCACAACCCTCAGGGCAAGAGCTCACCTTCTTTCCAAAAGTTACAGGCTTGCTCAGGAGACAATAACGGATTTTGATTCACCAGACTTTTGAGATCTGCACGGAAAGGCAGCAGCGCGCTAGCACCAATTCTTGCTTTATGTTGCCAAAGATGATTTTACTGTTGTCGAGCTGACACCAGTCCCACCCTGGCCACTGCAGCTCTCTCTGCTCTGCTCTCCCCAAACTCCAGCCAATGACAGATGTCCCCGGCAGTGGCTTTATACGGTTTAATTTGCATGATCACGCCAGATACCGTTCACCTTTGAACAGGCTGATTTGTTTCTCCAGGAGCTGCATGCAAATAAACCTGAGGAGTTGGGACACTGTGCTGAGCATTTGAGCACAGCAGACCCTCCGAGTGGGATCAGAGCAGGTAGGCAAATTTGGATTTGCCTACACAAGGTGACACCAGTTTAACTAAAAAAGGTCTATTTTTAATCGATTTTATTAAACCAGTGCAAAAGACCAGGTGGAATGGTGGGTCTTATTTCAGTTTAAACTAGGCTCATTTCGGTTTAGTTTACTGCAATTAGAAACAGGTTTAAACTAAACCAAGATAACCAATTTAAGAGGGTCTACACAGGCATTTGTGCCAGATGAATTAAACTGGTTTAAGTAAATCCGCTTCACTGAAGTAGTGCAAATGTATGTGTAGATGAGGCAAAGAAAGAAAGATGAGTTTTAGAACAATTTCAGGGGACGCTGTTTGTTTAACAAAGCACTGTGCTCTGTGGGTGTTAGTATTTAATTTTAAAAGCTTCTTCCAAAGCAGAGGACCCTTTTCAGAGGTTCTTTTCAGACCCCCCCCCCCCTTTTTTGGCATTCATTTAAATGCTGGCCATTAAAATATGTATGAGCATGACAGAGGGTATTGATTTTATTAGAGACACCCGGCAAAACTGGATAAACCCTTATTCATTCACAGAGGGTCCCGCCACACCCAAACCTGTGTGGGGTTGAATATGTAGACACATGTCGCACATATTCTGTATACAATGTGTGTATATTCCCTGCACGTGAGTAAGTGTGTGTGTGTGCAAAATGTAGCAGTATATATGTGTGTGTGTGTAATGTTTATGTATATAGATGTACAAACGTAATGAATGTACCTGTATATGTTCATAAGTGAATATATAAAATATTATAGTGGGTTTACGTGTGCACATCCATGTTTGATGGATGGATGTATTTGTACACACATCTAGTTAAGAATATATACCCACACGTGAAAGGAATCTACACCTATTACTATATAGTAACATTATATGGACGTACTGTACACCAAAATGTATATTTCTTCCTGCATGTGGGTTTTCCTTCATCAGGTCATTTCTCCCTTAACACAATAGATCTGAGAGTTTATAACTCTCTGATTACATATATACAATGGCGATTCAACTCATTTTAAATGATTTTTGGGTTAATTTTTCAAATATCCATTTGTGTACATGTTGAATGGTTAAAACTTAACAATAGTTTTATTGTTTCCCCTCTTGCCTCATTGAATTAAAAAAAAAACATGCTCAGCAGCGGTAGCATCATTTCCTTCTTGCTTTCAGATGCTGCAGATGCCTCCAGAATTACTTGGAGGAGGGGGATCAATTCTGCAAATAAAATCAATTATTTATTTTGTTTAATATAGTTCAAAACCTAACGAGCTCTGGGCGGAAAGGACTAGCAGAAGCAGGTCGAGAGAGATGGAGCTAAAAGACTTTATGCAAACACATGCGTGGAGGTGAGGTTGATCACGATCGGTTCTCACTGAGGCTGCATCAAATCATCTGCATGTTTATTTTTCTTTTAAAAGAGTTTAAGCCATTCAAAACAGCAAACTCGTCCCAGATAATCTAGTCCAGCCCCCTCCTTTGTTTCTCCCCACACTGAAGTGCTTAGAAGCTATTTGCATTCAATTAGTGCACAACAAATAGATTCACTAAACATGGAATGTGGGGGAGAGGGCGGAGAGTTGAAAGATGGCACATGGACTGGGAAACATATTGACATGATAAATATTGCATTGGGTTTGGTGGGAGTCCCTGCAGCTTTAACACACTCAGAATATGCAGGAGGTGGGAGAGGCTAGGCGCGCTCCCTGGCGCATCGGGAGCGCGCACTGACTCTCCAACCCAGCAGCAATTTAAAAAAGGGAGGGGGCCAAAGGGGGATCAGTCATCAGGATAGTGGGACTCGCAGCCTGGGCAGCTCAAAGCTCCAAAAATGTGTGTTGCCTCTGCGATTGCAAAATTAAAGCCAGCCACCACCAGGAGCAACAGATCCACAGCTGCCCACCCATCTCTGGGGCTCCCTGTACTTCCCAACTAAATGCCTGGAATTCAGTCTGGCTTCTGCAGCTGGGTGCTTTCCTGGAAGCTGCCCCCATAGATCTGCACTCCAGATCCCAAGCTGAGCAGGTAAGGCTGGGCAAACTTCACCTGCACGTAGGACGTTAGCTGGAGGAGATCCCTTTCCTTTTTGGCTTTGGGAGCTGCCTGCAGTTATGCAGATTGTGGTAGCTTTTGTGTGCCACGCGTGGCATGGTTGTAAAGGCAGGGCAGGATGGACTAGAAGCGTGTATTTCAAAGAAGGGACCGCAGGTACAAACAGCTTTGCTGGCGGAAAAAGAAAATGATCTCTTCTGATGCTATGGTAGATAGGATCCTTGTTCCCTTGCAATCAATGGGAGTTGTGCCATTGGCTCCAGTAGGGCCCGGGTTTAGCCCCAAATGTTAGATCTGTTTCTAGCTGGGGTTTTTGTCTTCGCATCTGAGGCAGGGAAGCAGCAGGGGTACATGGCAGAAATGCTAATGTTTCCCTAGCTTTCTGATCCGCAGCCTCTCCCAAATGGCACGGTTTGTCTTCAAATTAATACCAGGGAAACTACAGGTAATTAGGGTAAATCTGAGCGTGGTTTTACACATTTATAGATAAGGATCTTTCCTTATTCATGTCTTTGTGGGCAGCAAACAACAGATCTAGCTGCATGCTTTTTATTGTCAAAGTTTATAATCATTGCTTTATCAATTGTTCTGATATCAGTCTAAGACAGCGCTTTTTGGAGAATGTATTTCTTCTCCTGGGAGCTTTCTTATGGTGTTCAGTGCCATGCAGCTTCAGGACCAATTCAACAGGAAAGTCTAAGAAAGGGATGCCGGGGCTTTTAAAAGGAAAGGCTAGACCGTGTATATTTTAAAGCAATTTAAAAACTGCATGGTGCTGTCTGAGTTTCGGGTGTGCCGGAAACGTGGTTCGATGATGTATTATATAGAGTCCTTGCAACTTCCAAACGGCATGCGATCCGATGAAAGAAAGGCAGACAGACAGAGAAATAGACAGGCAGAAAGAAAACGAATTGAAACAATGATTTGTTGGCTCTTAGCTCTGGTTTGGGTGTGTTACTGCTTAGGCTGATGTTATTTTGCGCATCACACATGTCCGGGGGTCCGCGTGTGCAGCGCACTGTCCCCTGAGCAGGGAGCTCTTGCTACCTTGGGTTTTACGTCGGGAGCAGAGCGCTGCTTCCTGTTCTCCCTGGGCTAAGGGGAAAACGGAGGGATCAGGCTGCTACCAAGTCAGAGAGCGCAGCGGTGTCTCCGAGGCTAGGAGCGGGTGGGGTAATCGTGCCTGTCTCTGTCTCTGGCTGCAGGAGGAAGATGGACCCGTTGCTCTGGCTGTGGATCGCAGCTTTCCTGGGGGTAAGCCAGGGCTGCCCGGAGCCCTGCTCCTGTGTGGACAAATACGCCCATCAGTTCGCAGACTGCGCTTACAAAGATCTGCAGGCGGTCCCCGTGGGGCTGCCCTCCAACGTGACCACCCTCAGCCTGTCCGCCAACAAGATCACCTCCCTGCAGAAGAGCTCCTTCGTGGAGGTCACCCAGGTCACCTCGCTGTGGCTGGCGCACAACGAGATCAGCGCCATCGAGCAGGGCACCTTCGCCATCCTGGTGCAGCTTAAGAACCTGGACATCAGCTACAACCAGATCATAGACTTCCCCTGGGGGGATCTGTACAACCTCAGCGCCCTGCAGCTACTCAAGATGAACAACAACCACATGGTGAAGCTGCCCTGGGAGGCCTTCCACACCCTGAAAGACCTGAGGTCCCTGCGCATCAACAACAACAAGTTCACCACCATCGCCGAGGGCACTTTCGATTCTCTGACTTCCCTGTCTCACCTGCAGATCTACAACAACCCCTTCAACTGCACCTGCAGGCTTCTGTGGCTGAAGAGCTGGGCTGAGAACACCCTGATCTCCATCCCCGAGAGGGACTCCATCAGCTGTGTAGCCCCGGACAGCCTCCGAGGCGTCCCCCTGGGGAGGATCCCAGACCTGCAGTGCGCGCCTCCCTCCGTGCAGCTGACCTACCACCCCAACCTGGACAACACCGAGCTCTATGACGGCTTCACGCTCCTGCTGCACTGCAGCGTCAGGGGCAGCCCCCAGCCAGAGATCAGCTGGAAGGTGCAGACCGCCAGCCAAGACCTGGAGATAAAGGGGCCCGGCGTGGAGAGGGTTGGGAACGAGCTACCCACTGGCAACTCCAAGCAGGGCGCAGAGCGCTTCCTGGTCTACGGGAACGGCACCCTGGTCATCCCCCACCTGAGCAAGCGCGAGGAAGGGACCTACACCTGCCTGGCCACCAACGAGCTGGGCAGCAACCAGACCTCGGTCAACGTGGCTGTGGCCGGGGCCCAGAAATACCCCGCCCGCCCCATGGAGGATCCCCTGGCCGGCAAAGCGCAGCCGGGCGAGAGGAAGCCGGGCCCTAAGGGCTCCAAGAACAGCGTCCTCAGCCCCGAGGAGAGGCCCAAACCCCTCAGCCCCACCCGGCACAGCTCCCACTCGCCGGGCCTGGAGCAGGTCCCCGCCAAGCGGCCCTCCTTCGAGAAGAATTGCGGTTCCAGCGCGGACACCCAGTATGTCTCCAACCATGCCTTCAACCAGAGCGGCCAGCTGAAGCAGCACACCTTCGACCTGGGCGTCATCGCGCTGGACGTGTCGGAGAAGGAGGCCAAGGTGCAGCTCACCCCCTTCTACGGCCAGCCGGAAAAAGCCCACCTGCGGGCGCTCTACCTGTGCGCGGACAGCGGCCAGGGCCACTCCATGGTCCAGTGGTCCAGGATCGAGGAAGGAGTGAACTCCTACTGGTTCCAGGGCTTGACCCCCGGCACCAACTACTCGGTCTGCCTGACTTACCTGGGGGAGGACTGTCAGGTACAAGTGGTCTTCACCACCAAGAAGGAGATCCCCTCCCTCATCATCATCGTGGTGGTCAGCATCTTCCTGCTGGCCCTGGCCACCGTCCCCCTGCTGGGGGCCACCTGCTGCCACCTGCTCTCCAAGTATCAGGGCAAAACCTACAAACTCATCATGAAGGCCCAGAACCCGGACCAGATGGAGAAGCACATAGCGGCCGACTTCGACCCGCGGGCCTCTTACCTAGAGTCGGAAAAGAACTACAACCCAAGTGAGGCGGGGGATGGTGAGGAGGAGCGGGAGGCGGAGGGGGAGAGGGAGCTGGAGCGAGACGAGAGCCTGGTGGCCGAGTCCATCGCCGAGTCCCAATCCAAAGCCAACCCGGAGGAGTTTGAGGTGGGGTCCGAATACAGCGATAGGCTGCCCCTGGGGGCCGAGGCTGTGAACATCTCCCAAGAGATCAATGGGAACTACAGGCAGCCAGCTCGCTGATCCGACCCCTGGCCACCCCCCAGCCACCGCCCCAACCTGTATATCGTATAATACAGTAAGATACAAACCCGAGGTGGGACCTGAGCCATTCACTGGTTGATCAGCTACATCCTTCCAAAGACACTTCTGCCAACAGCCCAGCGTGGGGGAAACCCAACAGAATTCAGATCCCAACCCGTTTTTCTGGCCTCACTAAGTACTTCAGGGTGGGGTCGATATTTTAAACAAAATAGGTGGAATGAATTGGCCTTTAAAAAACGTTTTTAACATACTATTTGAAATATAAAGTTTTAAAACAAAACAAAACCATCTGCTCCCAACATATTAATCCTAAACGGGGGCTGTGGTCTTTTTTAAAAACTATGTTGGTTTGTTACAATTAAAATACAATGGATTGACTATTTCCCCCTCTTTCACATAAGAAAATCCGAAACTATCCTGAGTTAATTTCATCAAGGCCAGTTGTCAATTTCAAGCGTGTGTGTTGTCAATTTCAGCAAGTTTCTGTGCTGGACAGCTCCCATCCCCGTCCCACGCCAATGCAAACAGCTGTGCCCTTCCCACGCTGGGATGTATAAATCCGTGTATGGGGAGGATGGGTGAGTGGGTAACTGAAACCCACACCGGTCCTGACCATCCGATCAAAGATACACAAGGTGATCTAGCGGGTCATCTGTACCTAGACAGTATTAATGGAGCCGTGCTGTAGAATTTGAGATGTGTGTGTGACTTGGTCCTCTCTTAACTTGTGGGTGCTTCTCATTTCTTTAGAGGTAGGGGAGGGAGTGTGGAAATAACACCACCTCTGATCTTTGTTGTCCCTTTTCCCCAGACCTTCTGGGAGGCATGTGACTCACTGAGATTTCCTAGATGTTTATTGAGTAGAGTAGCGTGCTTATAGAGAAATGTATGTACCCTTGATGTGAGTCTGTGATGTTTAAAGGGGAACGGGAAATGGTAGGTAACTTTTGTCGTGGAATTGAGAAAAATCTGAAATGTATATGCAGCAGGTGCATCTGTGAGTTTTTTATTTTTAGACTCTGTATTAAAAACCACCAAAAATCAAAATGAAATCAGCACAACTGTCCCCAAGGCGGAGAAAGATTGTTTGTTAATTGATTGTTAAATACTTTCAAAAGCAGCCTTAAAAAGAAACGGAACCATAACCTTTTCTAAGCGCTTCTGTATGTGCAGAGTCAATAAAACAGATTTAAAATGGACTATTTGCTCATTATTTATGGGGGGATATGGGTAAATTAATGGAAAATCAAATCCATATTTCAGCTTAAATTAAAAAGCTGTAGTATAATTATTTCCCCTACACTATTCTGCTTTGTCTTAAACTGGAATTTTATTTTTCAGATGCAGTTATTTTTAAAATTGTGGTTGTGATCATTCTAATTTCTCCGGAGGGATTTTTTTTCCCTCGTGGTTTTGTTTGTTTTTGTACCATTTTCTTTCTCGTTAAAGAATTTGGGGTCGTTATTATAGGTGGCAGTTTCAGGGGATTCTTGAATTAGTTACTCAGGTTTCTGAATTACAAAGCGACAGCCTGCTTTGTTTCATAGGTACCTTTTGTCTGTGTTTACCTTTACAAGCACAGGGACATTTGAAGAGTTGATTTGATCGCCAATAACATGTTTTGCTTTGTTTCACGAAGTAATTTTTAAAAAAAAAACCGAGACACAAAAAACTGGGAAGGAAATAACCCTAACCCCGATCCCAACAATAAATTCGTCTACAATGTAGGGAAAGCATTGAGAAAGTTGTTACATGGATGGAGCAAGAATAAAACTATACTGGCCACCATCAGCTTCGCGTATGTTCAAATAAGGTAGGTGCCTGCGGGAGGAGAGAGACTGACTGACTCCAACACACAGGCCAGGGTAATATTTAACTATGGCCCCTTTACTGATGATGTACAGCCCCCAAACTATCCGTATGAACATTCTATGTACTGTGTGTCTAGAGGTACATGCTTCGTGTGTGTCTGAAGATGTGTGCGCAAATACACACATACACGTTGTTTATGTAGGTATATGTGTATACTGTGTGGTGTGCGCGCAGATAAATATACACCCCAATTATTTATAAACATGCATCTACTTCATGAAATAAGGTGAATGCCCGTACTTTCGCGGTGTGGATATATACACAGGCAGATTATTTATATATATGTTTTGCTCGTGTAGATAATATATATACTCCGTGTGTGTGCAGATATAGACACAGCTTTGTGAATAAAGGTAAATGTGTGTACGTTGTGTGTGGATATGTACACAGATTATTTATATACTTGTTTTGTTCGTGTAGATACATGTATGTACTCTGTGTGTGCAGATATAGACACACACGCACTTAGTGAATAAAGGTAAATGTACTTTGTGTGCGTGAACACATACACAGATTATTTATACACATATTTTGCGTATGTAAATAAAAGTATGTACTCTGGGTGGGCGTGCGCAGATATGCACACAATTACTTCGTAAATAAAGATAAATGTTTATATTTGCATGGGTTTGTAGACCTACACACCCACATTATGTGTACCCACATTTTGTGTATGTAGGCCAACGTACATACTTTGAGTGCAGCTATGATTATTTAGACACGCACATTAGCAATATATAGTGTATAGACGCATAGGTCCGCTGTAACATACTTTGCAGACATGCATATATTGGTTGTGTCTATATACACATGCACAGCCTCTGTATGTAAGATTCTATGTAAGCCCAAGGAACAGTGCAATCATGTGTGCGGTGTGGGGGTGGGGAGAGTTGGTCCATCTGTTTTATTTGAGCACCGATGTAAAGATTTCAGCTTCCTGTGCCCCTGGCTCGCTGATCTTCAGGAAGTAGCGGGCTTACTCCCTGACTCCTAAAACAGCCACCCGCGCCCTCACACAGAGCTAGACCCTCCCCGCCCTTCCTGGGAGAGGACTGGAGCTTTCCCCTGGTGTTTCCGCTGAGGCAGACACACCCTCCCAGTGCGTGCCCCGCGCAGGGTGTATTCCTGAACGGCAGGCTCTGTCCCAAGCCACGAGTCACTAACCCCTTGGTTCTGTTGGACATCCCGGAATCCCACCGTTTAGAAGCGCTACCGACCCCAGGGGCGATCAAAAGGAGCCCTCTGCCCATGTCGATTGCACCAGCAGGCGGGTAGGAAAGCAGCACAACCAGTAAGAACGAAGGACAGCAATTAGTTTCCATGTAAAACGATGCGATTTCAGAGCTAGCAACGCCTAACATCTCCACCGAGGTGTTTGCAATCACCTTCCCCACCCGAATGGTTTTATCCAACAATTACACTAAGATCAGTGGGGGGTTTTTTAATTGCCTTTATCATCTAGAGCTAGCCAGCGTATGCTTTTGCACATAGGTATATATATCAAAGATTGTGTACTTACATATATATTAACGCCTGTGTGTGTGTTAATGGGTAGGCATGTACACACACACACACACACACAGATACCTACCCATAAACATGCTTGCATTCATAGACTGATAGGATCCACAGATTTTAAAGCAAGAAAGGATCATTGTGGTCATGTAGTCTGACCTCCTGTATACCACAGACCCCAGAATTTCAAAAAAGCAGAGGAGGAGAGAGAAATATCACACACACTCACACACACAATCTGTGAATCCTGTGAATCTAGGAATGCATGTGTGTTTATGTGTATATATATTTGTGTACACAAACACAGAGGACAGAGAGACTATTCTATATTCATATGTTAGAATAATGTCCATATTTCGTATAACTAAGCAAGTCCAAAATCCGTGAATAAAGCATGTTAACAAACCATTTTCAGGAACTTGTATTTGCCACCTTTCAGGCACAGGTACAATTTTTTTTTTAAATTTCAGCCTTTGTCAAGATTGAGTTTTTCTAGACTGCTATATTGAAAGAAAGCAAACCTGGACTATAAAAATAAAAGACATAGTCAAGACAAAAGAATGGATGGATTAAATCTCTTTAAAATGGAGAATAATATGGTCCAGACTCTGATCTTCAGAATGACTCTACTGTAAATTCATTAAAATCACTGGAGTTAATCCTGATTTACACCAGTGTAACAGAGCAGAAATTAGCCCCAAATGTTTTCTCTACTTTCAGCTATTAGGATGTTGCCACTTCAAGAGATATTAGGGATTCAGAATTCCCAGTATAGATCAATCCCCTTTTGTGAATACATTTTAATTGAGTTTTATGCCTTAAAACATACAAAGAATAAGGAAGTACAATCATTTCTGCATCCAATTAATTATGGAGTAATAGATTTGTCCCCTAACGTTTCTACAGGGAATCTAGTTATGATAAGAAAAACATTGGTGCTGGATTACACTGGGACTTTTCCCTTTTGGAGGGTATTAATTAGCATTTGGAGAGGCAAAAAATAGGGAGAGGTCAGAAAGGCTATGACAGAAGATGGAGTTTTAGATCATACAAAATCATTATTGCAATCATCAAATTGCATAGGTAATTTAGCCACACTTTATATTGTCTCTGTTTATAAATAGTTTATAAAGTGTTAATAAATTATTAATAGATGTTTTAATAAATAGTCAATGGTTATAAATTGTTATAAAGGCCTGCACGCTGCTTATACCCACCTATAGCACCTTTGACTGATGTGCTCATAACCTTCTGCAACATATATACTCCTGTCTGTGACATGCGTATGACATCTCTGAATCAGTGATAAACTCCTCAATGGAAATTTAATATAAAGTGTGATTGAGGATTTTTTAAAAAATCATGATGCAGCCTCTGCAATGATGACATGACCCCTGGCTCCACAAAGGAAAGGTTTAACTCTGAGCTCATGAATGGCTCCACACAAGTCAGGGGGCCCTTCCTGTGCTTAGATTTAAACACAGGCTAAAGCATTTTGCTAACCTGAGGCCTTGGATAGAAGCTGAATGGATGCAGGAAACAGGCACTTAGCTGTCCTATTTGCAAAAAGGTAATTCACCTGCTGCTGAAGG